TGCTGCACTCATATTATCCTAGCTTTCCAAAGATGAGAGGAAAACTATGAGCAGAGGAAAACATCTGTCCCTGATGTCTGAGAAACAAAACAGAAATCCGTCCATCCATAGTTTAGCTAGTTAGCTAGCGCACAGCTAGCATGTTTGCAGTTAGGACACAACAAAGTCAGGAAGTCGGTATAGTAACCTCAAATTGACGTAGCCTCTGGGTTCTGTGCCTAATTTAGAATTGTGTATTCTTATTTAATGGGTGGATGGGTTTTATTTCTAGTTGCATTCATGATTGTCCCAGGGGCTTGTGATCCTTTTGGGTTCTGGGTAACGAGGGAAGTGGGAACGACTGGCGATAAAGGCACACAGGGGGTCATATTAAGAGAATCAGAGCAGGGAGGGAAGAAACACAAGACAGTGTAAACAATGAACTACCAAAATAAGACAGGCTTTTACTTTTTATGCCATGTCCCTGATTATGCTTTGCCATGACCCTCGTATTTCTTTCCCTGATTACCCTTCTTTGTATAAATCGTCCTGTTGTGTCTGTAGTCTTTGTTGGATTCCCTGCTGTGGTGCTTCCCTTGTCTTGTTAATTTTTTTAGATTTCAAACTATGATATAAAGTCTTTCCTGCCCTACACAACAGTTAGTTCTTGTTTTCATTCCCCATCCACTTGTCATCTATTCTCAAAGGCCCATGAGCTGCTGAACAAGGCCTTCCAGACTGAAGCTGCTAGCCTAGCTCATTGCTTCTGAAATATCTGTCCACTTCATTATTAGTTAATTGCTTGGCTATCTGCAAATTGCATAAAACTGTGTGATTGTGGACAGTTGTGGTTACAGATTATCTCACCACCTCCATGCATTAGTACTTAAAGTTTACCTAATTTGCTAAAACGCACAAAACACAATATACAAAGGTCTACATATGGTCTTTACTCTGTGTTAGTGCCTGTTAACTGACTCAACTGCATCAAATGAAGCTCTAAAAGGAAAATAATGAGCCGAAAGATTTACTGATGCATAGCTAATGACAATATTGATGGTGCAGCTTTGATGTAATCAGAGGAAACTTCATCCGAGAGATTCATCAGGTCAGGAATCCCAATAGCCTCTTAATGATGTAGTTACTCTACTGAATAAATGAATAACAACAGTATTGTCAGGCTATGGCTTCAAATGTTAAGATCTGTGCAAATGCCATTTTTTATGTCAAACATGGCTGGGTTATTTTGGTCTTGTGAAAACTTGACACCTGTCAGCTGCACCTCTTAATATAAAAACGACTTTGAGCATCGTTTCCTCATTCTGTTTCAACTTTGCGATGCGTAGCATATGACACACTCCTGTGGTGGGCATCTGACAAGACGTTAGTGCTTTCTGACACGGGACACACATGAAACTGTCCGGTTTCCTCTCGTGTTTGACTTGGTCGACCACCAGCGCTCTATTTTTGGCTTTGCGTGGGCAAACCAATTCAGTCATGTGTGTCTGAAATAGAGGTTCATTCACTCTCGCTCTCTTTCAGTGCTACCTAAAGGAAATGTCAGTTTCTCATTCATGCTGCTTCATTTGCAAAACCTCAATGATTATCTGCACAGAGGTTATGTGTGGTGAAGAAGTGATTTTTCTCAGCGAGCTTCAGTGGACCACACTTCAGGTTCAGGTTCTCTAGTTTCTGTGCTTTTCATGATGATAATCACTGGGACGCATACTCTTCAGAGATTTGTGCTCCTGACTTTATGTCACACATGTGCACATGTGCATGCATTTCAGACATGTAGGAGTAGAGACCTTTCAAGATTTCTCTTACGGGTTTCCAATTCAGGTTCTGTAACCTTCTGACTTCACCTCCTCACTTCCTCCTCACAGAGATGAACTTCCTCTTTCAATTCTCGCTCAGCGTTGCTGGTAAGACAGATAATTATTCTCTGCCTGTGTATGAACTGTGACTCCTGTGCTTATTCTTCCATGTGTATAGTATCAGAGTCCTGTGGCAAGTCAGGACAATCGCAGGAAAGAGACAATGCGTTACAGTCTGTGGGACAGACAGAGAGTCTGATGCATGTTTTTTTTTGTGCTCTGCAGATTGCAGCAAAAAAGGAAATGGAACATTGAGCATAAAGCAGGAAGTCAAAGCACTAATATTATCCTGACTCAGATATAGATGGCACAAAAAAGAATACAACCGCATTTTTAGACAGCTGAACCACAAAAGCCTTTTTACGCGGCTCAGAATTATCGAGTTTAGTTCGATGCACAGACACGTCTGCGAATTACGTCCCCCAAAAAACCCCAAACCAAAACAAAACACCACCCTTTTAGAAGTTATTAGAATGAATAACTTGGACATGAAGTTTTCCAATATGGTTTCTGCAAGGTGACGATGCATTGCTAATGACACTATTGATGGTGCAGCTTTGACGTGAAAACAAATAAAAGTTAATATTTTATTTTATTTTATAACTTTAACCAATACTTCTGGAGAATTTAATCTTGTCTATATTCATCTTGCTAAAAACAATGATTTAGTCTGTTCTTGAGCAATAAGCGTTACCAAAAAGGTTAAATAGACACTACTAAAAATAACAGTGGCAGAAAGTAGCTTCCTACGCTTAAAAAAACAAACAAATAAATAAAGTAAATTAAGCTTACAAAAGCAACACAGAGACTTGCACACACCATCGCTTCTCAAAATATCACTTCGTGCTCGGTAACAAATAGAGAAGTTTTACTGTGAAGCACCCTTGCTGAATGTTTGTCGGTTCCTATATAATCACTATCTTTTCTGTTAACAGTAACAGACTGTGAGAGATGTCAGCGTGTATGATTATTAGTCTGAAGAAAATAACAGAATGTGGGAATTAACCACCAAACCCAACAAATATTCTCTGCAGACCAAAGTTCATTCTTTGTGTGGAGCGTCAACAGCTTAGGTCTAAAGACGTTTGTGTGTGTGTTGAAATAAATATGCTAACCAGTTAACTCCAGTAACTAACCACATGTAATGCTAGTTTGTAGCTAAAAGTGTTTTACAAGGTCTTGAACAATCAGGCCAGATCTTATCCTAAAGACCTCACAGTACCATATCACCATACAACATTAGGTGATACTGTATCCTCCCTTAGGTACACTGCAATAGGCCTAGGCTGCTTCCCATGACGCACCCATTAGTATTTCTTCTTCACGCACCTGTTTATACACCACTCAGCATTTAGTTTTCACCTGTCTCCTTTACCTCCACCTGGTCATGGCGGCCCCTCCTTGAGCCTGGTTCTGCTGGAGGTTTTTCCTTTTAAAAAGGAGTTTTTCCTTCCCACTATCACCACATGCTACTGCTACTACAGCATAGATGCTACTACTGCACATTCACCTAAGGTATATGTTATATATATAATATTCTACCTCTATCCCCCCCCTCCTTTTTGGACACGTCGAGGAGCGTGTCAGGTTACATTCCACTGTGTGTTTTGTGTTGGAGAAAAGGTGGTGAAAGAAACATTATATGTAACGATGGGTAAAGCTCCTGACAACAGACCACTTGAGAGCAGGATTTGGGCAGGATTGGTTTATTGCTTAGCACACTATTTTCAATGTCCTGTCCTCACCTACTAGTGCTGTCTGGTGATAGTAGACAAAAACCCCAGCTGCTTCCTTTGTCACATACCACAGAAATTAAAGAAATATCGATGACAAAACAAAAGTAGCACCAGTTAAGACCCAGAGCTCATGAGTAAGGATAAGGTGCATACTGCACTTTTAAAAAGGTTAATTTCAATAGGTGAATGGCTTAAAACGAAAAGCGTTTTTAGGGTTTTAGTTACACACTGGATGCACTTAATTGTGTGGTGGAGTTTTTTAAGCGATAATGATGAAGATGACAAAGATGATCAATCATTAAATAATAATAAATGCAACAGTTTCATATTTATACGCCTTTTCATTCTGCTCTCATCCTTGGGAAACTCAATAATGTTATTAATGTGCAGGGAAACCTGTGGGAGGTAAAAGGTTAAAGGCGGTTAGGTGCCCTTCTTCTACTATCAGCACCTTATGCTACAGAAATGTTACCGCAATCATCCGCCCACAAACTGGCATTTTATTATTCCACAGCAGATGAACAGATCAGATACAGGTTTATACATGTGTGTGTATATATATATATATATATACACCTCATATATATGAAAGAAAGCTGAACAGGAACACGATTGAATTAACACTGTGAGATGAGGAAAAAAAGAACAACGAGAAATGCAAAACATTTTTCAGAGAAGACCTTTTGCTTTAGAGCGAAAAATCGAAAAAGTCACCTGACAAGCGGGACACTGTTAAACTTCCTGCAATTTCAAAAACAATTGAACTTTTGTCAGTTTCTGGTAATATCACATTTATCTGTAACAGTTGTGACATTTAATGAGGAGTGTGTCTAACAGTGTGCAGGTCACGCAGAAGAGCTCCGGCTCTAGCCTTCTGACCTCTCCGGGGACAGAGGGACTGCTGTCGTTGCATCTGAACAAATTTATGAAATTCACACCAGTTGACTCAGCTCTCCAGCGCTCGTGAGAATCAAAAAGAAAGTGAAGAGCGAGAGTGAAGAAGCGACGGGGGAGAGAGAGAGAGAGAGGGGGGGAAGTGGGGAAAATGTTAGTGGCTAGTTTTGAAGGTCCGGGTGAATTCTTCTCAGAGACAAAAGCATCGTTGTCGTCGTGAATGCGGAAGTAGTGTGACATCACAACGTCATGAAGTCACTGGCCACTGGGATGTGCCAAATGTTATAAGGTTCAGTAAGGGGGTGGAATGGCGGGAGACTCATTAAACCTGTGTGTGACAAGGCTCATTCACGGGAAAGGAATTCATAACAGTGACGACGGACAAACGTAACTAATGTGTGAATGTGAATCACTGTCGGGGTGTAAATATAAAACTGTGCACAAACCAGCAGTGATGTAATAACTTCAAATCGCCTCACACACACACACACACACACACACACACACACACACACACACACACTCACTCACTCGCAGACACAACGGAGTGTTTTTTTCCAATGCAAAGTTGTCATATTCACGTTTTCACAGAACACACTGGAGATTTTATCAGTTTTCTTCCATCCACCCTCCTCCCCCTCACGCTGCCTTTAAACCCTCTGAGAGAGAGCTGGCGGCGGGGGTAAAGGCGAGCAGAGAGGCCTCTCTGTCTCTGGCTCGCTGAAACAGTGAAGCTGTGTTCGAACGGGAGCTCAAGATGGAATGTGCATGTGTGCGCGCTATAAGTCTTTATGCAGCACGTCTCGTTTATTATGCATCAATTGTAGTTTTGTAGCTAGTTTCCTTTTGACTTAAAGCTGTGCGTGCCAGCGTGCGTGCTGTAGCGCACAGACACTGCTTTTTATACATCCATCAGCTTTTAATCTTCCTCTGATCTCCCACACACCACCCACGTTTGTTCTTTTTTTTTTTGCAACTTCTTATTACTTCCCCCCATTTTTTTTTGGGTGACTGTTTAAGGCTTTCATTGTCCTGCCGCTTCCCTTCTTTTCATCTTTTATCCTGCTTTTTTCTTTTTCATTGTTTACGGTGTGTGATTTTGACGTTTTGCTAACTCAGCAATCTGCACATGGCAGCGAGCTGAAACTTTCCTTTCTCACATTCACGCTCGCACACATACACGCACATGCTTGCAAATGCAGCGACGGAGGCTTGTTAAATTCAGATCTAACTAATATTGTTCGAGCGAGCGGTGAGAATAAATAGAGATGAAAGAAAGTGTCAGAAGAACCACCCAGAGTGCAGTGCAGAGTAAGTGTGCTCGCAGCGTGTTGCACGGCCTCCTGTGTGCATTTACGTGCAAATTAGCTTGTCTCTTCCTTTCTTTAAAGCCTTTATGAGCTGCCTGATTGCTCACCAGCTTTACAGTGGAGACCAATTAGCCAAATATGTGTGTGTGTGTGTGTGTGTGTGTGAGGGCCTATATATTTGCAGGTGCGCTAATTCCACTGGAACCCCTTTGAAGTGTGCAACAATGGACTTTTCCTCACTTTCTGCTACTAACCCTGCAGCACTCTTACTGTATTAGCACAGAGTTATCATCATCATCATCATCGTTTCCCTCTTGCCGGGTAGGGGCCCGACTGCTGCCACTGCTGCTGCTGCTGAGGAAGTTCAGAGCTGGGCGGGAGGCCTTGCTGGGAGGAGGTCCCAGCGAGGAGGAAGAGGAGGCGGCGGAGGAGGAGGGTAGCGGAGCAACGGTGGCCCTGACCTTGTTCATTCCCAGTTGGCGACTGTAGTTTTGTAGCTGAATGGAGGCGACACACACACACACACACACACATTCTGAATTTCAAACTCAAGATCACTTTCTTGTAGAAAACGGGAGATGAAAGAGTGGAAGAGGAGGATGTGAAGGAGTTGGGAGGAAGGACATGTGAACGCAGCAAAAAGGAACATTATGTTTGGACTTTAAGTCTGAGGTCAGCTGGAGCGAGAGCTCGCCACAGAACAGAGCGAACAAACACTTTCCTTGCGTTTTCCCACTGAAGTGAACTATTTGCATGTGAGCAGCCTTATCAGCCCCGATGAGTCACCCTGCCAACAGCTATACACCCTCAGGACACAGCAGGCCTCAGTTGATGGGAATACATAAAAAAACATTAGGGTGAAAGTTCACGAGCGATACACTGCCTGTGAAATCCACAGGAAATACTACACTCTACTAGAAAATACTCGGAATATACTCCGAAGCACTGAATATTGGTCTGGAATTACAGTAAAATAAACCAATAGGATGCCACCACAGCAGCGATACATTCAAAACACCAGACAAACCTCGAGTCGAATGATCTTCTGGAAAGTCTGAACCTTTTAGAAGAAGCCCTTGTGATATAAAACCACTTCATCTCAAAAGTGCTATCTTTGACAACATCGTAGAGTATCAGAAAGCACCACAGCACAGACTGTGTGCTCGTTTAATCAGAGTTTATGACTCACTTTGAAAACTCTAAAATAAAACTGAAGAATGATTCACTACACTATCGTTGTTTCACATCAGAAACGCAGTAATCCTCAGACTCAATGAGGTAACTTAACCACTTCCTGAAATAAAATTTTACTTTTAGGTTTTTACTTAAACTTCTGACTTCATATGCATCACAAATGATTCTTGTGATACTTTAGGCACTGAAGCTGCTTAAATGTTTATTTCGCAAACTTTTATCTGGCACTTTTAGTTTCTAGTTTCTTTCCAGGACATGATAAGATTATAAAACACAAAGCACCATTAAACATTAACCACAAGTTCACTTTGTGGCCTCCTTTAAAAACCTGTGATTGTTTTTACTTTATCTCACATTATCTGACAGCTTTCATACATCTCTCAGATGCTCCCATTCAAACAAAACTGCTGACATCACACAACAGTTTACAAAAACAATACCCTCAGAGTGTTTGAGACTGGCTGACCTCTAGTTTACGACTACCTGGCTACAAAGTGAGCAGTTAAAACTAGTTCCAGCTCAACCGAGTGCACCAATAATGCCTGATTATCTAAACTGCCTCCAGAGGGCACGCTCACACAACACCTTTATCTGTTTGCTTTAACTCGGACATCTGCTCGTCCTCAACCGCTGCCTCCAAACAACAATGTGGTTGTTTTATTGGATTATGTTGCTTTACTTCACATTTTTCATTCTCATGTTTATTTTCACGTTTTTGTCCAGAAGGCTTGTTTGTGTCTGACTGCAGCGAGTGCTGCCATCTAGTGATCAAATGAGGACGTGAGGCTGAAGGGCATTACTAAAGCACACGCTCCATAGAAAGATGTTTAATGTGGTTAATCAGAATGCGGTCAAATGGCTCTTGAACCATAAACTTCCCCCATGTTATATATAAGCATCGCAGAGTGACCTTCAGACTGTCATAAAGCTGCTGTGTTTACCTGCCGTGGCTGTCTGCTGCCTGTGCTTTTAGGGCCCTCCTGTGGTGGCTGAATCCTGGGAACACAAACAGCTTAGCTCCTCAGTATCATCTCCTTAACATATATCTGTAACCTGAACATAATCTTCTTAATAAGCTTCTTTATCATTGGCAACAGCTTGTGGTTACGATCACCTTCATTTAGCTACATCTTCACTAACGGCACTGATCACGTCATTCTTTAAATTAGAACTTTGATCATCTCTATAAATATCATCACAGACTCATCATGATCCTCCCGTGTTGCTGACCTGTATGGGTATCGTGGCTGGGAGAGCAGGCCTCGGCTCCTGAGGTGCTGGTAGAGGTTACTGCTCAGGGTGAGAGGGTTTAAAACAAACTCCTCATCCAGCTGAGTGAGACAGCTCTGACAGAGACAGA